ATAGTTCTATAACAAAGTTTTGAAGGGCAATCCTTACAATCAACAAGCAACAATCCTTACAATAATCTCATGACACTGAAATTTTGAAAGGCAATCCTTACAATCAACAAGCAACAATCCTTACAACAATCCTTACAATCCTTACAATAGTTCCATTCAAAAAAGATTCACATCTCCCCATCTTCACTTGATATCTCATTCACCTCTTTGCAATTACCATCAACCGCATGGAAGCTATTTTGAGTTATGGGCACCAGTTTTTTGTGTTTGAAGGGGCTTACTGATTGTTCAGTCTGTTAGAAGAATGTTCAGTCTGTTTTTTGTGTTAGAAGGATGTTCAGTCTCTTTTTTGTGATGTATGCTGCACCGGTTTTTTTTACCTCCAACCAGTTTTCTGTGTTAGAAGGATGTTCAGTCTGTTTTCAATGGATCTGAAAGGGAACTTCAGATATGCCACATTACTTCAGTCTGTTTTTACCTCCAATCATAATTTGACTTCTTCTTCTTCTTCTTCTTCTTCTTATTTTTCAATGGATCTGAAAGGGAACTTCCAACCCAACTCAAACCCCTGCTGTTGTCAGCCCTAGCTTGCATGTTCAAGTAGGTTCAGATATGCCACATTACTTCAAACATCACAAAATTTGGGCATAATAAATATCTTTAATCCCTCTAGAAACAAGAAATGAGAGGCTGCAAGATGTTGCCTGCATGCTACTAGACATCCAAGCTCACCTTGCCATTTCATAACCGTTTATCTTATTAACTGAAGGTAAGATTAATAGAAGGTAGCACATGCTACCTTAAAAAACAATAGGGTATTTAATGTCAAGAAAATAAGAGAGGTTATATAAGAGCACAGTCATGTAAACTACCAACATGTATCAAAATCTACTTTGCCTGATTGCCTGTTGTAATTCAGAATCATGCATCCTCACATTCCAATACTCAATGCCTGTATTTGTTTCAACCGTATTTCACCCAGATGAAATAGTCTGAAATGCCTTAAAGACACATACTTCAGTAATTTGAGGTATTGCATTGCATGCAGAAAACTTCAATCAAAAGACTGCTCGAGACTTAGCAGCTGTTCATCACCAGATATGAGAATTTCACAGAAACAACATCAAAAGCCAGAGCTTGGCAACAAGACTTTCTGAAATGCAGACAACTGGATTTATTACATGCTTCAAGTAACAAGGATTCCTTACTGCATAATTGACAAACTAATAGAAAAGATTCGCTAATCATACAATTCATTTCTCAGATATCCAGGCCCCGGCTTGAAAGGATCAGGCTCCAAATAGGCTTCTGGCCGACTGAATCCAGCCTCGTTCATCCGGTTACTGAGTACATGTAATATAGGTTTCTTTGATCCGTACTCATCTCTGTTGTTCTCCACATATTCTGTAGCTTCAGCAGCCACCTCGTTCACAAAATCGAACCTATTCTCCTCTGATAGCAACAGCCTCGCGATGTCCATAGACATTATCTTTCCAGTTTCTCTAATCATCCTCACTTGTTCTTCAAGAAAAGGTATACGCTCCATCTTGTAGCGCAATTTGTCATCTTTCTTCGTCTGAAATAAACACATGACACACCAACATTAGCTGCCAAATTTATTGAATTTTCTTCCTGAACAATGTTATACTTTGTCATCGAGGATTCTGAACCCCAAAGATTGTAGAATTTATATAATTTGTTATACCAAACTTCTCTCTTCTGTAGACATAGAACAAGCTAAAGGGCCAAAATTGGATTGAATTTCTGTTCTCAGGAGATTAACACCTAGCACTACTCCCAATCCAATTTTAAATCTGACATTTGGAATTGTATGCCTCAATTGACGTGTGAAAATATTCCCTAAAATGAAGCTAGAAGAACAACTTCAGTGAAACGTGCATTAGAAACATTAAGTACGGTTATAAGCTTCTTGAGCATGTACGCATCTAATCCTGGCAAAAATACTTCACTGAAAAAAAAAGTCTATCAACAATTGATGGGATTTTGGATTGCAACGGCCGACCATCCAGCGAACAAAGGTTTAAACAAAAAAAAAGTCTATCAACAATTGATGGGATTTTGGATTGCAACGGCCGACATTCAGCGAACAACAGGTTTAAACCAGAAAAATTCAGAGCAACATTTTAGGAGGTAATAAGAACCTCTAATTATGGCCAAAGATCGTAATTTGAGTTCGCCGCTTAATTATAAACCGATGATTAAACAAAAATATACAGAAGCACTAATATAATTTTAAAAATTTAAAAATTCAGGACTTGTTTTGTAAAAACGTTAGGCTACCTGGTTGTTGTGATTTGGCGGAGTTCGTCTGGAGGAGTTCGCGGCGGAGGTCGTCGGCGGCGGTCGACGGCGAGAGCAGGAGCGTTCGTCGGCGAGATTTGTGAGCAGGAGCGAGATTTGTGAGTCGGCGAGATCTGAACGACGACGAGAGCAGGAACTTCGTCGGCAGGGATCGACGACGAGAGCACGAACTTCGTCGGGTCGGCGGCAGTCGACGGCGAGAGCAGGAGCGTTCGTCGGGTCGACGGCAGTCGACGACGGAGTGAGGAGAAGGGATTTGAGATCGGTTTTTTGGGGAGAGAGAGATGGATTTGGGGATTTGGGAGAAAGAGAGAACTTCAGATCTGACCAGGACCGTATCTCGTTATTAAATGTAGCGGAGGAAATTTTGCAATAAAACCCATTCGATCCCAAATGCGTACGCACCCATCCGCACTTGAAATGCACTGTATATATATATATATACATATATACATATATTATACATTTATATATATATATAGTATAATATATTAGTATATATATACTCATATATATATATATATATTATATAATATATATATATATATATATATTATAAGTATATATATATACTTGCTTATTACTAATATATACTGTCTTTATTAGCTAGAGGAGAAGCGACAAAAAGTTATAATGAACAGTAACATAAGGCTTCTAAACAAATGAAAATAAAAAATAAAATGAGAACACACACTTTTCCAAGCTCCCATCCCCACTTTAAGCTCCCACGTCTCGTCTAAGCGTTCTCATGTCTCTCGCAAACTTCCCACGTCCTTGCATTCGCTTTTTCTTCGATGCTCAACCCCCGGCTTCCGCTGCTCGCGATCTGCTCTTGCGAGCTCGCCAGCTTCCGCTGCCTCACTGGCGGTGTTCGACAACTCGCGACGACGACGAAGAATCTCTCTCCGCCCGGCCATCTCCAACGGCGACGAGCCTCTCCACCCTTCCATTCCGCCGCTTCTTCGCCCAGTTCAAGGCCGCGGAGGCCCTCCTGCCACAACTCCGCCTCTTCGGCCCGATCCAAGGAGTCGCGAAGATGCGAGTCCAGTCTGGCCCAAAAGGTTCACTACGGCAGGAACTTCTATCGCGCGCTTGACGACCTCCGCTCCCCCTCCTTGCTCCAAGGCCGAAAACCTAAAAAGGCTCGGGATCCCATCTGACTGGCCAAAGCTAACACTATCCAGTTCAGTCGTCCGCTGCGCCGTGTTCGCTCACGGGCCCCTAAATTCCTCATAACCGCCTCGATAAAAAACAGGTTGTTTGATCTGCTCAAGCGAGCCCCTCTGATTCTTCTTCTCTCCAATGGGTAATGCCTTCTTTCTTTCAATTTTAATTCGTTCCCTTTCTAATTGCTTAGATGATTATTTAGAATGGACCGCCATGCATTATTTTGATGTCTTCAGTCGTTTTCCTCTAAAAATATTTCTTGTCGTAGTTGATTTTGTGGATTTTACAAGAATTAATTATTTGGTTTTAATTGGTTCTGCTATGTTGTTGATTGCATTTTGGAATTTTTAATATGGGCATTAGGGTGTCTTTTTTTGTTTGATTGATGAATTAATTAAATATTCTTTCCATTTTCTGGGTTTAATTTTAGCAGAGACTAGTATTTTGATTGGAAGTTCTCATTAGGACAATGAACGATGAGTACGAAATATTCATGCAGAGAATGAACCCAGTCGCACAGCGTTTGGGCAATCTTTTTGATTTTTTTGGGTGCTAATTCTTGTTCACTTCATTTACTTTCAATCTTCTTAATTTCTTGAATTTGTTCCATGTTAGGGTGTAATTAATAATGATGCTGTGCTAATGTCGCGCAAT